CTTCAAAAAACGCAAGAAGACATCGTTTTAGGTGAATGGTGATGTACTTTATCTTTTGTTACACGGGGTTTTGGTTTATGTCCCCCCGTGATGCACTTTATCTTTTGTTACACGGGGTTTTGGTTTATGTCCCCCCCGTTGCATTATTTTTGTTATATTTAAGGGGCACTTTTTTGTTAGATTGACTAGGTCCCAAAACCCTTCAAATAGTTTATTTTGGTTTTTATTTACACGTATAAGGGGCATTTTTTTTACTTTCCGCCGTGGGCATCCAAAATCTCAGGGCCGGCCCTGATCACATGTATATATTTTAAACATGCATACACTTTCATGCACTCCCACATATACACATGTACCCATACTCATACAATATATCATGCATATTTTTACCATGATTACTTGCATGAAAATATATACATATCCACATACTCATATATTAAATAATAATATAATAATTATCTCAGGTGATAACTAGAACCCATTTATCACAGTTTTGTTCAAAAAAAATTTCTCTATTATATTTTATTGACTATGGTTCTTCATCAAGCTTATTTTTTGGAAGTTATTTATGTTGTGTATGTTCTTTTTATGTGTTTTTTTATTTTATTGTTTTATTAATATTTTGTATTTATTCAAGTTTTTATTTTTTGTTTTCTGACAACAATCAAATTATGATTAAGTGTGATCTAGGTGGAGTTTTGTTATTATAAATTTTCTTCTCCATCTTTTATATTTAGAGTTTCTCAATTTGTATTTTTACGTCATTCTCTATATTATAGTTATTAATAAACCAATATATATCATGTGACTGTCTGTTATCTAAAAGAACACTTAAAATAATGTATGTGCATTTATTTATTTGAAAACATACCAAATTTGATATTCATGTGGTTTTTGTATGTGTATTTGTTTGCTTTTATTAAATTATTTATATTATATAAAATCTGCTATAAGGATGATTCTTAGTTTTCGGAGCTATCCGACTTAACTCCAACATAATGAMTCTGATATAACTGGCCCTTTTAGGCACTTGAATATTGCTTAATTGCTCTGGCGCATTTACAGTTATTGCTTCTGTGAACATAGTAGCTAAATAATCCGAAGGCCAAGTATATTGGGTTCAAATTCATATTTTGTTTTTACTTTATTAAGAGAATAAAAAAAGGAGCAATAACGCCCTCTTGATAGTGTTTCTTGTTTTATTATGCTTAAAATTATTTTAATTTGTTTAAAGTTTTATTTATTTATATAATATCATATTAAACTACGTAATGAAAAAATGTTGTTTTTTATTGGGTATAAATTGATTTTGCTATACAGGCGACGAGATTAAAGACTTCGTATGAAAAAAAAGAAAATTTTAATTTTTTTTATATTTGGTAAATCAAAAAAAATTTGTCTTGTTTAACATTTTGAAGAGATTTATTTAATGATGATTATTTATGTATTGGAAGGATTGATCGTAACATATCAACAATTGTGAGGATGACAATATGAACAAAAAAATATGAAGGTCAATAAATTAATCATTTTATATATATATATATATATATATATATATATATATATATTGCGTATTTATATGAATTCTAGGTAGACGGTTTTTGTCGTCTTTGATATCTTGGCATTCCACGAAACTCACTAATCATCCAAGTTGGCATAACAACTTCAGAATTAGTTTTTCTCATAACGCAGATTGTACCAGAATCAATCAAGGAAGCACATATACTAAAGTTGATCATAAAATCCTCCTATCAATCATGAGGACCAAACAAGCAAAGATGTGCAATTCTTAGTATTACAATCACGGGGTAGGTATTCACCATCTAAAGCAATCACAATAATGTAACAAATGGAGTATGGATGTTGTAGTAATGAACTAAACAAACCTCGGTGGGTCGATGTTACAACTCTCAACATAAAGAAAACAAAAATCCCGACTTCTATAAAGTCCAATCGATCATTGGTAGTTCTTCACGGACACCACTTGGCCTTGGAACTTCTGCTTTCTGAGAAACTGCCTCTGTACTACTTGAAGAAGAATTTACAGATGCAACCCGATCCGGAAGGTTAGTCGAGGATGAGTTGGAAGTTTGATTTTCTGAAGCTACACCAGAGCCAATATGTTCAGACTCAACCGACGCATTGGCATTCGATTCACCTGATTCTGTTGTAGGAACACCAGATCGTGATTCAGGCAGACCCACTGATTCCATTCTTGGCATCGCCCCTGAATCTGGGGTAGTTTCAGCCCCCATATCTTGTGTAGGTTGAGCTCCTGACTCCGTTGATGGTGGAGCCCCAGATTCTGCTGCAGGTGGTGGAGCCCCAGATTCTGCTGCAGGTGGTACCACCGCAGATTCTGCTGTAGGTGGTGCCGCCCCAGATTCTGCAGCGGCAGTTGCTGGTGCCGCCCCAGATTCTGCAGCGGCAGTTGCTGGTGCCACCCCAGATTCTGAAGGAGATTGTTCAGCAGTAGCAGTAGCAACAGCGGAAGTTGGTCCTTGTATTTGCAAAGGTTTGGCTGGTTGCTGCAGAGAAGCTGGAATAGTTTTTTTCTGAATTCCAGGAAGAGGAGCATCTATAGATGGCATTCCAGGGGGAAGGATTTCGATTGGTGGCTTTTTGGCTGCGTCAGCTAGACTTGTGAGTTTAGGTTCCTCGAGAGAAGCCAGAAATGCACTTGCAGCATCCGTTTTTGTTGAAGGACCATGCTCCATCTCCTTTTGTAATGTTTTGTTCCACGACTGAACTAAAGTCCTGAGGGTTGTCCGCCCGTGTGCCTGGAAGCAAGAAGCATGTCAGAATACGAAAAAGACAACCAACCAAACGATTATTATTAGAGTTTTTCACCAAACTAGCCATTTTAGGGAAAGTCGCCTGTTTTGCTTGTTTTCGTCGGATGGTGGGCCCTAATCTCAGCTAAAAACACCTTTTTTGATAGTTTTTGAAGATTTGGGGTGTCAATTTGCTGGCTCTTTCTTGATAATGTTTAAAAAACAGCTATTTGATGATTTTTTTTGTTGCCAAAAATGGCTAGTTTGGTAGAAAACTCATTATTATGGTGGAGATGCATCAGTTATACATGGGCATGAAGCACCGCTTCAGCTAGCATCCCAGTATCCTGCCATGATTTCTCCATAAGAGCATTATCTCCCAAAACTGCAGCGGCGAATGCAGCCTCCCGCCCAAAGCCCACGGATATCAGATTATTCACCAATCCCTAGCAACCAAAAAAAGTACGGTTTAGTAAGATCAGAAGGATAAAAACGGCCATGAATAAAAGTGACAGAGGCAAGTATAATCCCGAAAATTATAAGGTAAAAATGCAACGAAATTTGCATTAATTTCTATTTAGTTTATTGAATACTTATTTTTCTCAATAAACAATATAACAGTTCCAACATTTCCAATTTCATACCCAATTTGACCAGCTGATCTTGTAACATCTGATGACATGTTGTCAAGTTATAAATTAACATTTGTTACGTGGAGGACTCACAACTTGKCATTCAATCAACCGATATTATAATATCGGTTGACAACTTGGCATCCACGTCATCAAATTGTTACAAGACCAGCAAGTTATCAATCAAATTGGGTACAAAATAGGAAACTCTAGAGCTTTGTTACATTAACTGAGAAAAAGTTCTCATCATTACAGAAACCTAGGCAAATTTTGTAGCATTTTGATGCAATTGCCCTATCAATTATCCGTAAGCATATTGTGTGAATGTAAGAAATAAGTAGAACGAGGATAAAATTTGAAACATACACCAAGTCGTGTCAACTCTCCATGATTGGCAAGGCGTAAAGCGAGTCCTCGTAATTCATGACCTTGTAAAGCTCCCTTGACTGCACCAGCAGCAGCTAACCTCTTAAGAGCTTCCCTAGCAACTTCAGCTTGTCCAGTAGCATCTGCTGCATCAATAATTTCCAAAAATTCTTGGGCAAATTTTACTACACCATCAACAGCATCCACAATGTCTTCCTTTTTAGCATTAGCAGTAGTAGATAAAGACATTATGTCATTTAAGTTAAGTCCCACAGCATCTTGCCCTATATTCCTACTGTTGCTCATTGTCAGAAGACACTGCAGAGCTCTCTTCAGATCATTGCTCTTCATAGCCAAATCAAATTCCAACCTGAACGACACAAGAATATTTTAGTTTTGGATTGTTATGATGCACGGCATATGAAGCTGTTGATATATACTCCCTCCGTTCCAAAGCAAGTGTCTACATTTGTATTATAGTTTGTTCCAAAGTGCCTAATTTCTGATTCTATCCTTAATTATGAGATGGAGAAATTCATTTCTCCCTCTACCATTAAGGGTAACATTGCCATTTAGTTAATTAACAAGTGTAAAACTTACATTCTCCCTCTATTATTAAGGGTAACATTAATAAGTGTGATACTTACACATTTCTAAAATTGTGTGCCTCTTTAATGAACATTTATTTTGCGACTGAGGGAGTAATCTAAAGCAATGGAACCAGATAATTATTGAAGCAAAAATGCTTAAATGCTAAATTGATGAATATAGAACAAGGAGAAAGTTGAAATGAGAGCCGTAAATATTTTGAAAACCTGGAAATTAACCCTAATATATTCATGAATATCATGCATTTTCGTATTCGTGATATCCATCAATCACGATATTCATCATAATAGTTAGTTCTAAGGTTATAAAAATATCGACATTTGAACCCGCCCATATAAAACAATCCATCACACCTCTTAGATATTCCAGGTAAATGAAGGGCTTCAGTAGCATAACCCATCCCAAGCAAAAATTGAGCTAAATCATCATGGTGCTCTCTCCCAAGTCTACTTGCCCTACAAGAAGAGCGCACAGCAGATTATTAAAGTCTAAACAGTTCCACCAGTAACAAAATAGAAGACACAGAAACCTACCATTTTACTGCACTAACAGCATCCCCATAGGCAGCAAGACAACGGCAACGAATTCCAGGGTGGCTGAGGGATATTGCATGAGCAAACATGTACCTGTAACCGATACAAGAAAAAGACAGGTATTAACAAACTAATAAAGCTAAGGGAATTAATTCCTATTATATTATCTCAATGCTAAATCATAAAATTCCTTTGAACTGAGTATCACATTAATGATTAGATACATACAGCAAAGCATACACACACTACTGACAACAAAAGACAACTTATTTCAAGATTTTAGCTTCACTGTAAATAACAAAATTAAATGGCATTAGATTGACCAGACAACAATCTTGAGCGAACATGTGTCCAACATTGTTGTGAACAAGAGGTAGGTGTAATACAGTGCACTTGACTTGCATATATATTGACAAGGAGCACAGTCAACCCATGATTTGCATATTTTGTAAATGGTCCCTGGTCATCCTGCTTTTATGTTTTATCTTCTTGTTTTCTGTGCCTGCTGTTCTCCACTTACGCTTTTTTGCAAGTCCGAAACAACTTCTCTACTCCTGGGGGTAGAGGAAACATCTGTGTACATCTTACCCTCCCCAGCCCCTATTCCCTCTGGCATTTAATGGGTTCGTTTGGTAAATGGTTTGTCATCCAGAAAAAGTAGGGAAGTCATGGTTGAGTGCAAGAAACTTCAACTTATCTCAAAACAAATGACACTTTACGCCTGAATTTCGGCAGTTCACTTAGTCATAGCATTTAGAAAATGATGAAATATATAAATGAGGTAAATAGAATATTGATAACTACTTGTTGAGCAGGCACGCTCACATCACAAATTATGGTTAGGTGTTAATAGAGCTGAAAAATTAGCCTATTTAGGAAAAGGTAGGTGCATTGAAACCATCATATGAAAATTAGGGACACGATGCCTAAACACAGTTAACTAACATGCCAAATTGGTTTATAATTTAGAATGGAATATCATTATCACAAGTCAAAAGGAATTATAGCAGTTCCCAACCAACTAATTGGAAATGGTATCAAGGAAAACTAATTCAAACAACTTATAGCAATTATTTCAATGTCATCAGGGAAATGTCAAAGGAGATCATAGCGGTTCCCAAACAACTTATAGCAATTATTTCAATGTCATCAAGAAAATGTCAAAACAATTTATAGCAATCATTTCAATTATATATGACTTTATGATGCTCTAAATTGGATGTGAATCAAGGAGTGCAAATCTAATACTTTCGTATGTAGGTTATACAATATGTTATCCAGTGTTTGTGTTACTTAGCAACAAAGTAGAAAAAGAAATATGGGGAAAAGGAAGGAATATAAGGATGTTGTTCAAAGTGTCAACCCAGGCCGTCCAACACATGGTCCATTTTGATGAATTTTAAGAACATGTCGATTGGACCTGCCCATAGCCATTTTGGACCATTAACCAATCCAACTCCAGCCGTTCATTTGTCACATCTTGTGAGCAGGTACACCATGTACTTTAAGTACCGAGAGCACCAAGTAGTGTACTTCATCATCCATGTATTTCAAAGAGGCCATGTATTTGTAGTCCATTACATTTACATTAACTATTCATTTTTAAATTTATAGTTTATCCATGTAATTAAACCTTCAATGGCTATTCTTGTCTTTGGTGTTGATTTAATGTGAATTTGTGCTATAACTATATGATGTTTTGGAAATTCAGGAACCAATTGCTAGTAACATCACAACAGCACATAAGGCAAACTTTTGGTGAACACAGTCGTAGGAAAAGAGGGAAATATGGAAACACGAACTCAACAATCTTAATATTCAGGAAGGATTCAGCAGTTTCTAATGTAACAGCAGAAGAATCGCTGGCACGGACAACACCAGTTTTTGCATAGCCAATATACAAAAAGGAGCAGCTGGAATACATAGAGGGAGGAAATTTACAAGAGAAGAATGAGAAAATTGGGGGAATCGATGGCACACAGGACAGGCATGGATGAACTCATTAGGGGAGAGGATAAGACAAAATGGATGTGTGAGGAGATCTCAATTGCTGTTGATGTATGTGGTAATGCAATACGCAACTGATAGGGGAAATTAATGGAGATATCAGATGCATAAAGAAGGGGGAAGACGAGATCCGGAACACACGAACAGCAGCAACAGCTGCTGCCCAAACAGCAACACAGCAGTGATCATTGCTGTGTCATCATGCCAACAGCATCATGTGTGTAGCAGCATCGATCATTAACAGCAGCCACATTCAACAGCAGCGGCCGCTTCTGTGATTGGAAACAGCATTGGGGGCTGCCATCATCGATCAAAACAGCAGAGAAGTATATTAATGTGCAGCAGAAAAAACAGTCAACCAGTAGCACCAGCAGCAACATGAATTATAAGTAATCACAGGATCCAAGTACAGCCAAGTCAGCAGCAGTAAGATCTTGTCAACAGCAGAGCGATTTGGCAGAAGGAAGAAAAGACAGACCGATTGGGGCTGCTGGCTCGTTCCATCAAGAGCCTATCTTCTGGCTTGAATGATAATGAGATTTGATTGTGCTGTTGAATTATGTTGACCTGAAGGTACATGTTAAGTTTGTTCATGTTTTGTGTGTAAAATCTATTCCATGTTTGACAATCACGCATGGGTTAATTTACTTACAATGATGACCTACAGGATTATTGTAGGGGTATAAACAATGAACAAAGTGTGTGGTTTAATGTGAAAATTCAGACTTTTGACTGGTATACTTTACGTTAACACATCAAACTTAATCACTGTGCTTAAAATCACTTGTATGTATGTTGACCATAGAAAAATGGGCGTGTCTGTGTTAGTGAGTCAATAAGATCGGAAGATCATAGACACATTAGTGTGATGTTAGCCCAGGCATTAATTATGGGTATCAATATGATCTCTGTTTGTTGTGCTTGTTGTGATGCTGTATTTAGGGAATGGTTGCTTCTCAACTTCAACCTGATCCTTGCCTTACTTTGTAGCTAGATTAGCTTACATTTCTGCAGTTCAGTTGTTAATATCTCTTCGCGAACGCCCACACCATGTAGAATTGTAGATATGCTCTGACTGAATGAAAACTATCATGATATAACTTCCTTTTCAGATACTTCCATATAAGTATATTAGCATGAATAAAACTCTTACTAAACAAACAGGATACCTGTCAATGAGCCATAAAACACCATCTCTCACGCCCACAAGAACTAGAGGTCCAATAGGTCTCTTTTGCTCTGACGGAAAACGAGTGACTGCAACTGCCACCCCTCCACCACCAACAGCTATCTCATCCACTCTTTTACCCTCAGCAAACTTTTGCAACCCCTCATCAGCATCAACTCTAGTTTGTTTAGGCAATGTCAAGAAAGGAGGAATAGACGATGGATGCTGGAAAGATGCTAACCGCACCACCTGAGAAGAAGAAATACCCAAGGGATAAAAATTTTAAAGATAATTGGTTGAATAATAAATACTTCAATCTTCTGAATTCTTATAATGCATAAGACATAATTGGTTAGAAAGATATCAGATAGACATTGTTGACTTACTTCAGTTAAATGGAGTTGCATTATTAAGTTCTCAGTGAAGTTATCTAACAAAAATATTTGTGTACTTCAAAACTTGTGTTGAATTATGCACATGAGAAATAGATGGAATAAACAGAACATCCACCATGAATTTCAAAGACACTAGGAGGCCTTGGGGGAAGGACAATGGCTGGTGCTGGCCTGAATAAATTACGGTACGTAGTGATATATGGAATCATGTTTGTTAGAGATATAACATAACACACTTTTGGTTCTGTACTTACCTCTAGGGTTCTGTAATTTTGGACCTTGTATTCCCATATGATTAGTGCAACATTTACACTTTTCGAGACCATTGTGAAAAAATAAAACCTAACTCCATTATAGCCATAAACAGAAGCCTCGTCAAAGCTTCCGGCTTCGAGCTGTGGGAAGGCAACTGTGACATACGAAATGGACTGACAAACATACTATATAAATTTGAAAATCCAACTGACAATATGGGCATCTAGTGCTACTCGACAGTTTCACTGACGGAACTCCACTGTGTATGATAGCTGCTGGTAAGTTTTATAGAGCTGACAACCTAGTTGATTTCAGGGCTGTTTGCTTGGCACTAGATAAGCCACCTAATGGTCCTACCACTTATTCATTCACACAGATTCCATAAAACCTTATAGGTTTAGCTTGCTTCTTAATGAATCATACATAAATGTAAAATTAACCATCAAACAGGAGTAAGTATTTCTAGCAAAAGAGTCTTAAAAGAGACGAGCCGACAATTTGCCTTGAGCTCGGAGGCCAAGTCCAAAGCTTCTTTGAGAGAGCCCTCAAATCACCACATTGTTGATACCTTATCCTATAGAATCACACTAAGCAATACCTTTATTTCGATTACCATATTATAGTCAAGTCTTTCACGTTTATATTGATATATAGTTGGGTGTGACATACAAAAAACTAGAACCTCCCATTTACGATAAAAGAAGCCCACAGACAGTAAAGTGCTAAGTGACGCATCTTTGTTGCCATGTTCGATTCATCTAACACAATAAATTCGAAGTCATAGCAAGCAACTCAATGGAAACTCAATATCTTATATGTATGAGTATCAATTGGTAGCACTCAAAACAAAGCCAAAGCAAAAGTGTAATAATGTATAGAGACCATCATACATTAGCATCACAGCCATCACTATTACCTTAATGAAAATAAGTACCAACAAATAAAAACTCATACTTACTCTATGCCAATAATTTTTGCACATGCATGATGTCCTACCTATTGAACTTGTCATATTCATTAGGTAGCAGGATGTGCCAGTTATGCAAACAGAATTGAGATTAGAGAACATAGTTATAAGTTGTGCCATCCTCCTTATGCACAGTTTTAAATTATTATCATAATATAAATACCTGTAGCATTGGTGGTCTCAGTGTTATCCTCTCCTGTGCAGCAGTTTGTGGACTATCAACTGCAATTAGTGCTAGCTCTCCATGCTCCACAACCGCTCTTGCCTGTGCCTCCTTCAGTTTCATCTCTTCTTTCCTCCGTTTTGTTTCGACATCGATAGGTGCAACACCAGCATCCACAAAAACACACCTGAAGACACAGCATCACAAAATGATTTCCTGCATGCTTAGTGACAATAAATGAAAATGTAAACATGCAAAAGTCATTGACATTGGGAAAACCCCCAAAAAAATATATCCACCATACGTTTGTAAGAAACCCACATAGACATAATGTTTTGATTTTTATGCTAAGCCTTATTCCATAATGTGTAGTTGTTGAACTTCTCCTAGAACTGGCTCCTGTCCAATTTAAGAAGCATAAGATTTTGTTGTTTTTCTGGGATTTGAGCACAGGATGTGAACCCCTCTGAAGTTGAGCTTTTTCAAAGTGAAAGAAGCTACATTTTTCCAGTACTAATTGGTTTGCTATCTATTCAATATAATGATATTTCTAAGCTATCAACAAATTAGAATACATCCTATATCCTAATCTAAAGGGACCTTAGGAAAAAATGTACATAAGTTGAGAAAAGTTTTTTCTCAAGTAAATGCAGTACTCTCATTTCATTGCCAATATTGAGTAACCGAAGGTGGCATATATGTTGAAGAAAGAGAAGGTACATCAAGAGGTTAACTTTTGACAATAAAGATACTTGCATTTTCTAGTCCATTAGAGCCAAAAACATTTAGAATATATGACAATAAGAGTAGAAGATTATACCAATAAAAATTACATGAGAGAGGGGATTCTTTAGCGTGGTCAGTTAAATTAGGGAGATGTGAGTGATAATTACGAAACAGCTAAACTTCAGAGCCTTGTTCAGTTGTCAAAGACCATTTTCCCTTCATTTGCGCAGCTTCTTTATTTTATGCTAGATGAATCTTGTTTGAAAAGCTAACCTATGAGATGAATAATTTATGTATGTTTAGGGTTATGAAATCTTAACTTGTTGGAGAGTGATGATATCTTATACTGATGTACTTTACAGTGTGAGCAAACTTCAGAACAGGACGGTCTTCTGCCTAAACAGCATGCTAATAAGAGATATCTACTATAATTCATTCACCCCAAAATTCACTAGTTTCCTAACCAAACCACACTTCAAAAGTTCAAATGAGCCAGATGCATTCTTGACCAATTTAAAAAAAGTTAAGGATAAACAGAACAGATAAAGATTGCTAAACTGACATATATTGCTTCCCTCTTTTACCAGTACACCATGGTTCTAAAGTACAGAGTTGTGGTGTACTAATGACAAGAAACTCTTTGTATCTTTACACAGACTGTCTGAAGCCAGAGTAAAGCACATGGAAGTCATACTGATCCAGATTTATTGCAGGTTGTTCTAGAGATGGGACATTCAAGAATTATAGAGGTGTCTAGCCAATCAAAGATCGAAAATTCTCAACTAGGGAGATCAACGGTATAGTACATATAGATAATCAACAAAGGTAACTTACTCAATTGTTGTTGGTGTGGCCACAAACAGCTGCCTCCGATGCCAAACTGCACCAGTGGCATGAGGTATTGCCACATCTCCCAAGTATCTATACTGAGGTCGCAAGGAAGATATGGCAATGTATTGCTGATATGCAAAAGCACAATACTCGACAGTTTGGTCCCAGGCTGTCCATTCTGGCTGAGGCAGCATTCCTCCCACAGGTTGAAAGCTTTCCCAACTAAAAATCTCAATGTCATTCAAATAAAAGTAGTGACACCAAAATATTCAACATCAAAAAGTGAATGGTATCCATACTTGCATCATAAACAATTCTGGAACTTATTAATTAAGAAAATGTGCTATTCAGGTAAGTTACATGAAATATCAAGCGATATAACGGACGTTTCTAGCATGGAATACATTATACATAGACATGCACAATCAGTGGTGCATTGTATCTGAAACACGCAAGTGTGTTGAAGCTTATTTGTCTTGATACACATAGAACTAGAAAGAAAATTTGATATACAACTAACAAAAGTGAGATCAAGACAGGCATGTTCTAGTATATAAATGATCATATAGTTTACAAAGTTCACAGTGCATTTTCCTGTTGGATGGTCACAGAAGTTGAAGTGAAATAATATTCAGAAAGGCTCTAGACATATTCCACTGAAAACATCTGTATAAAGATCAGAGTGGATGATGACTTGGAAATTCTGCAAAATGAAAGATCTTGTGATGTGTGTCTCCATTAAGAGCATACCGCAGTTTGACTTGTCATTTGGCTTTCAGACCAGGGGAAAAATATGATAAGCAGCATATATATTTGGTCAATAATAATGTTACTTCTTGGTGCTACCCTACTGGTTAGGCATGATTGTTTCAGAGAGAAGTGATTCAGAAATTTTTATCTAGGTATGTTGATTTATTTTTTAATTGCAATAATGTCAGGCACAAGTACAATCAAACTTCCATGGCAATTATAGTGTTGGAAATTATTTAGATTAAACGAAAGAAGATGTTGTGCTTAACATATCAAACATTACTTCCACCAAAGGCTTGAAGTCATCATGAAAAACAAGGTGCAAGTTCAAAAGGCCAGCAATCTTACCTGTATAACTGAAAGTTCTGAGGTGCTGCTTCAGCAGGATTTCTTTGAGAAGAATAGCCATCATCGATGGTGCTGAATGATGAAAGAGCACTACTTCCAAAGCCTGATAACGGCATTGACTGGATTGATGAAATAGATGTGGCAGCGACAGGGCTAACCCTTCTTGAAGTTCGGTATGCTATACCAAGTAGTGTCCCTCCATGCAATCCAATAACCTACAAAGAGAAAGTCTTAGCATGCATCACATAAGCACATTTTGAGAACCATGCAACCCAAATAATAACCTCCAGGTGACATGGGAGCTCACTGTGAGGAACATGCATTAATAGTTGGTTAGTTTTCATATTACAATTTTTTATTAATATAATCAGAAAAGACAATGTATAATATGCATTAGTCTCTAGATTTTCTGAAAGAGTAATCATTAGCAGGAGCATGGGAGGAGGGAGGGGCGACAAATGATTTGGGATAAATTTTTGGCATCACTGGATTTTAGTTGGGGAAAAGAAGAAAAAAAATATCATAGCATAACAGACATAAGCCAATCCATACATACTAGGATAAGACGAATGCAACAGATTAGAGAAAAAAAACATGATTCCCATCATAATTATAGAGGCAAGCATGACCCATCCGTTTAAATTTATGTCAACCACATCTTAAAAATTAAGAAACAGTTGCCAAACAATGAACGTCATCCAGGATTTGTGAGGACAAACACAAAACATGAACATAGTGAAGGGAACAGAAACTCATACTGGTTCATTGCGTTCACCAATCGACCTCATTAAGATGTTGGATGTCCCATCATCCAGCAAGATACGAACTTGAACACTTGCAGCAGAAGCAGCTGCTGCAGCTGCTTGTGCTGCAGCAATAGCAGCAGCCTCCTTTGCTTTTCTTGATGAACCCCCTTTAGGTAATATAGGCATCCTAGGAGGCACTGCTGATTCTAACAGCGCAAATCTGTCTCGACAAGTATCCCAAACCAGAAGCCTTGCAGTGCCTGAATCGACAATTGCCCAATCACTGACCTTGTAGACTGAGAAGTACGGGATATCAGGCCACACAATTGAAAGGTACCTGCAACAAAATAAGCAGAAATGCGTCATAATAGAGAATGAAATTTTCATTGATGTCCTTAATATTACTGGACTAAATCAATCGGTAAGTATATAGGAACACTACAAAAAGCCAAACATGCAAGGGCAAAAAAATTAGAAGAAATAATGTTAAAAGATTGATAAAACTTGGCTGTCACATGAGCCATGAGATCAAGTACAGATATATTGAATAGTTGCTGTGAATGGTTCTAATATATGGCGCACATTCACACGCTATAAATAGTTTGACAGAAGAACTTACTTTCCTGAACTGCTCACGGATAGGATGGAATATGAATCATGTGGAACAGGAGTGCTAATATGCTTTTTCATCTGTTTAACATTGAATTGTTCAGAAGGGTCTCCCCTTAATTTTCCTGTTTCAGTCAAGGATCCGTTACTTCCAAGAGAAGGATTTGCTGTGTTAGATAATTGAAATTGCAGCATCTTAAGTTCCCGTTCAACTACATATACTGCTGCATGTTCACGGCTTTCTGGTGGTGATGGTAGAGGAGCAACAGCAGGAAGAGATCTAGGATCGAATTCACTGAGTATGACACCTATATTTGTTCCGGTGGCAACAATATGTGGTTGTAAGGGATGTGCAACCATTGAATATACCTAAAATTGTAACCCAACAATAATGAGTGTTCAAGTATACAAACATTTTGACTCGAGGATCACAAAGACAAAGAAACCTCGCTCAAATAATTCATGGTTTGACCTGGAGTAAAGCTCAGAACACATTTCAGTACAGGAACGCATATGATATGCATGCATATTCAGATGCATAGATACTTACTAAATTTTAGGTATGGAAGCATATTAAGATGCATGTAAAAAGACAATACACCTATGCACATGAGAATTTTCAAACCAAGAAACTCAAGTCTCATCCACAGGACATAAATTGTAACTCATGCAAAGTTAACTGGATAAATGAGAACGTGAAAGCTTACTACTTGGGAAATCAGTTTCCCTGCAGGGTGGAACCAGGATTTTTGGAATGTGGTATCACTCACAGTAAACTAAATTTGAATATCTCAAACTAAACTCAAATACATTTGAACAAAACAAATAAACTTGATACATAAAGTATATTTCAAAACATAGGAATTTATGGACAAATCGTTTTTTGTTGTCAAATACTTTATAGTGCTTTCATCATTAACAATGTCAAAATCCATACCCAATGTAAGCCATCATACAATCATCAAGTCAAACACCTCTGATAGCTTATATCATGTCGTGGCTTATTCATGGCTACACTCACCACAATTATAGCATTCGCAAGACCTTGATCTCTTTTGTAATGATTTAAATAAAAAATTACCCCATATATCCATGCTGCCTTAGCTTTAACTTAAACTTTACTAAATGCGACATGCCCAAAACATGGTTTTGCTCCTATGTCTAATCGAGCATCAAAGTGCAATACTAAAGCAAACACAAAATCTTCAATCACATAGGAAGCAACTTTGCATAACCACACAACTCTTCACTATTAGGATCTTCTTCCATGATATCCAATAAGATATAAATGACAAAGCCAGAAGTTCAAAAGTTGTCTCTTAATTTGAACCTTTGACAGTCTCTACGTCACCACAATAATTCTCTCAACATCTAACTTGTACTTTTCCTCCCAAATATGACATTTTATCTTGAATGAGGCTCCTAGAACCTCTGCCATCATTGAAATGCAAAGACAAAAGAAAATATCAATTTCATGATGACTTATTTAGGAGAGAAATAATGAACGTCCAAGGACATGAATTATTTGTCAAAATCAAGAATTTAGCGTGTTGATCATAGCAGTAGAAACATGAACCTGTGGGATCAAAGTACAATCGTCCTAATCACTGTACATATTCCCTAATCGACTGTTTCTGTCATGCCTTCACAGTACACATGCCGGATTGCCTTCCCTTATACTACTGCTTCTGAAATGAAACTTGGTTGGGAGGACTTCTTTGAACTTTTCAAGTGTTTCCTTTCTTCTCAATATTCTCTCCTTTTCTCCCAATTTTGAAGAACTTGGACTAAAAAAGTTATATCTTCTTGAGTTCTGCAAGTTAGTAGAGCATATTCCTGTTTTTCTCATTTTTCAGGCCTTGCCAAATTGACTCTTCTTTTGATGATTATCTTGTACAATGTCAGTCTATATACTGAAATTTAAAAGTAAAATCTCTTGTGTCATGTGAGTAAGTTTGAACATGATTTCAAACCTCAGTTGAAATCCTTGGGTAATAATTCTGAAGAGTACTTCTAACGTCAAGTGGAATATAAGACTTCCTATGGAATTAGTATTACTCATGAATTACTTTGTGCATATAATCCCCAAGAAATTAGTGCAGTTGAATAAAAAATGACACCTACTCAAGACGGCTCTAGGTTACTTCTGTTATTAATAGAATGTCATGTTTTGCTTGACGGAACATAAGTGCAAACCAACGTGTACCTCTATGCTCCTTTGTTACCTGTGACACCTGAAATCTTTGTGTGCATTTGCTTTGTTAACAACACAAGACCAAGTCATCGAAACTAGATCCTACATATCTAAAATTATGTTTGTTGAATATTTGTGTGTCAAAAAGGAAGGTGCTATAGTTTTTAAATCCTTTAAACTCTGATGTTTGTTAAGTCAGGGTTCTGTTTCACTCCTATCTGCTTTACGTCTAGGTCCTTCACTAACACCTCATGTGTATCTTCATACCTTGGAGATTCCCATTACAACCTATGGTGCAAAGTTGAGACGACCATAAGGATGATATCAACCAAACTTTGCTAACTACAATTTGGTTTGAGTTGGTTTCTAGACTGCTAGTTCTTTTTTCTTAAAACAATACGAGAACCAAAGTTTGGCATAAAACAAAAGCAGACGCACTGAAACAAATCTAATTTTCGTTTGATAGGCTCCATTTTGCGGGTTGGCATGGTCTAATTGGTTTCTAGTTGCATAATGTACATCTATTTGGGGATGAACTAGCAAGTATTAGCTCTATTAGTTTTATCCTTTGATTTGGCAGCTTTTTTTCCTTTTAATCGTATTTAAGAACCCTTTCTCTCACAATCAGAGGGATGAGGCTGGGTAGGGACAATGAAAGCCAGAAAGAGATTCGCAGGTAACAACCAAGTTCACTCTATTCTGTCAATCATGTCCACTGAGGCAGCTAGTTTCCTTGGAACTATTAAAACATTAAGGTAACTGACACATCTTATGCACTGCAATTCATCATTAGCTTTCTTTCAATAAAAAGAAAATGGCACAAGCTACTGGGTGTAACATGAGACATTGTTGTCCAATATTGTACTGCTTATTCGTAATTAGCAACACAGGCATCAACATAAGAGAAAGACTGTAAATATAGTGTCTTATTAAACTTTCAATGGAACAAAATTACAAACAGGTACATACCCTAAGCTTTTTGTGAGGTGCAAGTACTTGTGGAGGAACTAGAGAAGAAAGTTCACATAATGGCCTTGTTAGAGCAGAATAAGTGGGGTGCTCAATAGCCCTGCAAATTTTGACAAAGAGACAAATAATTACTTAGAAGTGTTGCAAAACCAGAAAGCAGCATAAGGTTAATAGCCAATTGGTGCTGACATTATCTCAAAAAGACTTGATGTACAAATCTCACAGTTCCATAAATCTGGTAAAAGTCATACAACAAGGAGATAATAGCATACCATATATGTGAATCCTTCACACAAGTTAATATATCAAGGTTGGGTGCTCGAGGATGGCACCAAGATGCCACACTGTGACAAGCCATTTTAGGAACAGGCTTAATACGGCGTAATTCCTGCAAATACAAGACTAATCGGTTGAATATTATATTGGTACATAAGGTTTTTCTCATCTTCTAAATGCATGATTTCAGATAGCGAATTAAATGATTGCAAGAATAACTATACAAAAAAAGGAGATACCTTGAATGACATTGTATCCCAGATGGCTAAAGTCTTATCTGCACCTATTGTTATGAGCTGAGGTGCACTTCCACTAACTCTAGATAACTCAACAGCGACAACACCACCATCATGTGCCTTCAATAGTATCTCAGATGTTAGCCTTCTAAAATATCAAGAGCTGAAAGTTTACATCTTGTCTCGCACATGGATTGTTAAGCACCATCAGGAGCTATCTATGTACCATCATAAGAAACTAGGTGCCAACATTTAGACTGCATTATTTTTTTCCTATACGCCTTCCCCACCAAATGTTATCAACTGACCAACATTAACTCATATATCAGAAAATACGTATCATAATCTTAATACTTTAAGATATATTAAGATAAAAGTATAAACTGAAATTAATGGTACGCCAATATCTATACATGATTCGTCATCGAAACATGTGCAAGGGGGCAGAACATGATGGAAGGAAAAAAATAAACCTCTAGTTAAAGAAGAAATATGAACAATGCAACAGACGTAAATATGTAAGGGCCACCATGGGAGAAGCCAGGTAAAATATGGCAGATACAAACACGGCCCATTATCCTTGTTACCCTATTCTTTTGGTTCCTGTCGGGTATGTGTTTGATATGCAAGGGTTCATACATGATATGTCTTGGCCCCTCCATTTTGCGATTTCTATCACAAGACAAGCACTACAATTGAAATTATGTCTGCGATAAACATACAACAAATGATACCAAATGTAGTTGCTCAGATCTTCTGGTTCGGCTTGGGAATTTCATACAAATGATACCAAATGTAGTTGCTCAGATCTTCTGGTTCGGCTTGGGAATTTCATACAGGGATCCTACATTCACAGCTCTAGTATGATATCTTGATGATGTTCATAGGAAATCAGTATCACCGATATAGGAAAAATAAAAAACACAAACCCCCAATGTGCCTTGTAATACAAAGAATCACAGGAATCAGAGGACTCTGCATGTATAAGAGGATTGTTCTTTGATACTTGATCCAATATGATTTTATTATGGCGTCGACCAGACCACACAGTTACTCAAATCTTTTTGCACGACTAGGATATGAACATTATCGTTAAGATTAGACATAAACACAATGGCATAGTTACCTTGAAACTCAGCTTAGGCACGAGTTCTCGTGAATCTTGACCATGATCTGCACTCCAAAGTACAAGTGCACCATCACTACCACCAGAGACCAGTAGAGCCTGTATCCAAATACAAGGATATGCATTAAGAACATCTTCATTTAAAATTACTGTAATGGAAAAATGTTGTATTCCGTAATGAGTAACAATATCAATGCTAATTCATCATTTGGTGAAAAATATGGTTCTTAAAACGTATGTGTATATTAGTCATCAGAGAACAAAAATTTATACCAGGTAAGTGTCCAAGAATCAAAAGCCGTACAAGATAATAAAATGCGTAGATTACAGCTTTACTCTATATATCTGGCAATTGTTTGGTGCTGCACATATGTGGAACATTTTCAACTTGCTGCTACGAATTGATTGATAGAGAGTCCTACATGAGGCTTGGTCAAAATATTGACTAGTTGATCTTCAAAATGCACCCATGTGAGGTTCATGAGAAATAGAGAATCATCAACCACTTTCTCACAAACAAAATGACAGTTCACCACAATGTGTTAGGCACATGCATGAAAGATATTTTTTTTCTAGGACAAATGCATGTTTACCTTATTACTGATGTATATCTCCATTAAGCCAGCAGAAACTTTAAAATCCTAAATTGAACAACATATCCATGTGAGCTCACAAGCTGTTTGTGTTCAACACTTGAAAAAAAATATCATGTTTCTTGGCTCACCCAAGATAAAAGTTTACCTCCAATAAGTACCCGAGTCATTAACCTGCTCCTCTATGAACATCATCACTCACATCTAAGTAACTTATTAGTCTACTGTGGCCTGATTTGTATACAATCGATTGGAACACCCTTGAGATGCGTCATGATCTAAAGCATCCTATCACAATCACTAGTAGAAGGGGAGGAAATGAATCAACTAAGTAGACTCACGGAAATGCAATACTGAGCCTAGTGATTAACTGATACTGAAAGGGTCCGATTTCCTGAATGGTCTTTTGTATTTCTCTAGATCATCAATGGTGCATACCATCAGCAGAATAAAACTTGACATCCGATATTAGTATTCACTAGAGAATTATCCGACAGTCAATTATACCCATGTTGAAGAAGAAACCAAAGGCACACTTCAACTCACATGGGAAAGAAGCAATTGCAAGATCTAGCCACCTCGATAACCAAAAAGCACTTAAGGCTCCCAAGTCATTCTTCAGAGTTATGATACCCTCAAAATTATTCTTTGCAAAAGGAATGCATAGCATTGAAATATAATATAACTAGAAATAAACCCAACAAAAGACTTGAACATTCCGTCTATCATATTCACATCTCCGTGTGATGCCAATAGAAATATTTGGTACATTGCTTTGCTGCAGGTGAGGTTGTTGTAATGCTCAAAAGTACTTATCCCGAAGGCAATCATCTCTCTGTGTGTAGAATATATTGTGAAGAAATAAGTAAAATGGGCCTTCAGTATTTGGAGGGAAGGATCTTAAAGTTTGGATAGAAGTATGGCTCCCACTCTTAATCCATTCTGGATATGCCTTTAGAGATTCCTATGCTCTTGGGACTCTTTTGAGAAGGTTAACTTTTTTCCTTTAAACAATCAAAATGAATATATTCATTTAATGGCAAAAAGTGAAGACTGTAAAGCTTCATACAAAACTGAACCTTAAGCCAAATCTTCAAATGCTCACATGAGACCCCATTCACGTAAATTTCTGAATGTAAGTCCGAGTCCTAGCTCATGTCTCCTGAGCATGGTTGGTAGTAAGATGGGTCTTACTTTCCAATTGTTGTGTCCTTATGAGGTGCCTTTCGATTGCGACAAGGTTGACTAGAAGGAAGTTCAACATTCGGTGAGAACCTTATGGTCTATGCATGACAAAACATTTGCTACCCACTTCTTGATTACGCAAGCAATCGAAAAGAGAATGCGCACGAAATTAGTGAATGTGGATATCTCATTACACTACTTTTTACACTCACTTGCTATCTTTCTATCGATCTCTCTCGAACCTCAAGTCTGTAGTGCGTTTCAGTATAATTTCGAATTTTTAAATTTCTCCGTGTCGATATTATTTCGTGTTCCAAACTTCCAATTAAGAGAGGGCCTCACACAATTCAGGTTGCCAAGCGAGCGGTTCTCAAGCAACTGGTTCCCAATCATGTCATCGAAGTAATCATCAACCATAACCAAAAAGCACAAGTTTGGCAAACTTACAACTTGGCAATCGAGTGGGAAAAGGAAAGCGCAATGTAAAAAATGAAGTGTGCTCTCAATAGAGGAAATTCCACATTGCAACAACACGTGGAAAGGTCAAGGCCACTATAGATTTCACTCCATCGCAAATTTAAAAAACATGACGACTTGGAGTTATGTTACCGAGAGTTAAGTCGGACTATGCAAGTGAAGATGGTGATCCAAGAAGGGTTGTTGTTCGGACACTTTGATAACCCATGAATTAAGAGGTGGATCCAAACATCACTTCAACCGAGATACCAAGTCGTTTTACCCTTAAACAAGACAACCGGTTACTACTTTTCTTTCCTGAAGACCGGTTAAGAATCGGAACAGGTTACTCCATAACTGATTAAGAGAATATGGCTGATAATCTTATAAATGGACTTGCAGGTCGATATCTTGGTTCACACTCACATCGCACTCCCTTTGCCTTCATGCATTTTTATTGTTTTCTCCTTTTAGCACATGACTTGGGGGGAGACTCATACTATGAAGTGAAAGCTTCAATTTGACATTGAAATGCTTTCCCATGACTTAGGCCCATTTATTTCTACTCATGGCCTCTATCAATGCCCCTTACATAAGCTAAAATTCTTTGAAGACTGAGTGCTATATTTTTCAAGTACTAGAGAGAGAGAGAGAGAGAGAGAGAGAGGGGTTCAGGTAAAGGAAGAGCATGCTCGAGTGTTCTCTACAAGTAGTTCTTCATTAGTGTTTGATTATTTAAAGATGTGATTTTGATGCTTTTAAAGCTCTCCTTACAAATTCGGGGCCTAAAATCAAAAATTTTAGGACATTCTTTGTAACGATTCTTCCACTCCTACATATGACTTTAATCCTTGATGCCTTGACCTGGGTCTTGTTACATAAGTTCAGATGATGTCTTCCTCCTCTATGGGAGCTCATTTAACACCAAAGTTGAGGACCTCGTATCAAGCTCCATATGAGGCTTTGCAAGGTTGAAAGCTAATGTGCCCCCAAGTTTCACAACTACTAAGATTCCATGTTGCTTGAGTCTTGAAGATTTGGTGAAGATCACCATCACTTACTCCATGCCTTATATTATTGCTAAAATCACAGATGATGAAGAAGATCAACCTCTTACTCTTCTAACATGAGCATATTTACGAACAAGGCTTTTAAGGCTAGCCCCTACCTCTTTTTCCATCCTTTATACAATCAAATGTTTGAATGGTTTCATACCACCCTACTCATTTGGATCCTAATGCTTGGATGACAATGTCATCCTTTGTTATTCAAGAACTTGCCCACTAGGCATGTATTAAAACCACTTCCATGAGAATTAGATTGGCTACATCTACTTCACTCGTCATCCTTATCAGCTTAAACAATAAGAGGGTGGAAAACAACTACTTGCATGAATCGTCAACCTTCTTAAAATTGATGAAAAATGAAAAAGGCTTTGTTCTAAATTAGACTTCACGCCATGTTATGTCCAAAGTTTTTCTTTTTATTTCCACTCATACAATACTTAAAGAACAATACAAAAAGATCAGATAGCATAACTCTTCCTCCTATGGTGATGACAAGGATACAATCTCATACAATTTAACAATATAGAGAAATATGTTTGATCTACAGAACTATAAGATTTAGTAAAGATACAACATGCTCTTCGTTGAATAAAAACAAATGTGTACCTCTCCTGAAGAAGCCATGAAGGTCATCAAGCAAGCTATCGATCCCTTATGGCCTCCCGTGTACCTTCTTACAAGCTGCATCCAAGAACTACTATCAAACGATGCACTATGCAAGAAATTGAAGTGAACAGAGTTAGGATACTAAACAAAGGGAGATCTTAGATGCAAACCTTCCACGTTATCATTGAAAGGACTCTAATCACACCATCTGATGAACCAAAAGCAACAAGAGGGCCATCTCCACCACCAGAGTTAGAGAGAAACTCCATACTGCAAGAGTAGACATGTTCTTATATCTCGCCAATAAGGTTCTCCGTAACTAGCAAAAGTGTAGGTTCTAAAGATGAGAAAACTCTCTAAAGTTGAACTCACTCATTATTACCAACTTTTATTCATCTTCAATACCTTACATAAAATAGTAATTTACTTTTTTACGATAACTATCATCTCTTTTATTCTTCTTCATTAGGAATTCTCCATATACTTTCCGGCTTATCCTAGCAAATACTTGAAGATCACAAATAATAGTTTACATAAACTTGATTAATCAGGTATAGTGGATGAATGTATTCATCATACACAAATAAAATCATAAGGTCGTGAAAATCTAGATTGAGTGTAATTCACATAAGCCTTGGTAGAAGAAAAAAAATAGAGTTGATTCAATAAGTCTACCTTTTCGTCATATGATTGTCGATACAATAACTTGGCCTCTAATATGATATCATTACATGCAGATAAAGAAAAGCATCACGAAATACCAAATGACTCATTGTTAAATATGATGATCAAATACACATAAAACAACACAACTATAATTTAGAGGTAGAATAGGTAAAAGTGGTTACTCCAAGTATGAGAGCTTCCAAAGAAGATAAAAGAAAGAGAAAAATATAATAAAATATTTGACCTACCAGAGTGCAGTATTACTAACAAAAAAAGAAATTGATTGAATACTAAATATTCTTGTAACTTAAGACATCAACAAACCAGCACCTCTTATTACAAATATTAGTCATCACCTTGTCAAGAAGGCCAAAAGATTTTTAGAGATCAATTGCCTCAATGTCTATTTGAATTTATGTGAAATAGAAGCTATGAGTCTAAACTCTAGAATTTATATGACATGCAACAGTCTAAGAAGCATATGTTCCTTGGTCTTTTAAGAGACAAAAATGATGATCTACTTAGATTTTACTGTTCACTACTACAAAAATCATTGTAGATGTGGTTATGACTTGCCATATAAGTGAACGATTGTCCAGATCTTGCTTGGGCACATCTCGACCACGCATTGTTACTAAGTCCAAAAAAATGGCCTTGTTTTCACAACAGATGACAAGAAAATGTCTTCCTTTTGTTGATGCAGCAGGAGAATTAAAAGCTGAAGTCAACTGATTGACTGCTGATGGTGGTTCAGCAGCAGCAGAGCGATTACGCCAAAGTTGCCAGAATCGTACGTCATCATCATAAAAGGAAACCTGTCGTACACTGAAATGACATATATCTATTGTAGGCTGAGACTTCAGCAAGAGTAAACATAAAACATATTAGCAATTGATGAAACAGGTAATTTTTGGATCCATTACCTCCCCCCACGTAAGGCTTCTGTTGGTTTCCCTTTAGACTCTGTCACATAAAAGGTAGATATCAACTTCTCCATATAATCATTAATCTAACATCTAAAAGCATTAAGCTTGCCCCAGAGAAAGGCCCAGACAGAAAATGGAAAAAGTGTTCTTAAACCGGAAGCCAATCATGCTCAATGCCACAGATCCCCACGCCCCAAAATCTCCCAGAGATCAGTCTTCAGCATTTTGAGTTTTGACAATTAACACTCATGTACTTATTGTTTATAAGAATTTTGAACTTTTCTCACTTGGCTAAATCTTGGATTTTAAAATTTCTACAGCTGATGATTAAATGTTTCGTTGTTAAGATTAATGTATCATAGTTTGAAATGAATTGACACACTTCATAACCTATTAGCATGCATGTATGTGCTCCCTATTTATGTTGTGCAAGTATTAGCCACACTACATAGCGATTGAGCGTTCAATGTGACTTTGGGAACCCAATATGTACTATTTGTATTGTACATGGATTGCGCTCTTTTATTTAAGATTATATATAAAGCCATGCCTTCAAACGACATGTGAGGTTAATGTTGCATAGTAGCCAATATTTATTTACAGTGTTACACACATAATCTAATCACTACTTTCATAATTTCATGATCTCTCCTGCTAAGTTGTGCCTTAATTTGTTAGGGACAATTGCTTTGGGTTAAAGACATTAGAACAAGTAGGCATGTTTACGTCTAGGTTTTTAGGATACTACTTCCTCAGTCCCAAAGAAAATGCAACAATTTCCATTCCAGGATTCCCGCCTTGATCATAACAATTCCTTTTTTGACAATCTTTTTAGCTAAAGTTACATATTTTCTCATTGCCATCATTACACATTTTATATGGCATTGTTTTTAGTCCGCAATATTCCCCTTGTTTTGCGGTAATTTCCAGTATATTGTAGAATCTATACAGAGTACTAGTAAAATGACTATATGCGCAGTCAAACATGGCAATTGTATATGGGCAGGGGGAGCATGATGATGTGTTTCCTACCACAAACCTTAATTCATCAAGGAAGAAGCATATGTGGAGAGATAAACAATATTGGGTTATAATATGTCAAATGAAGTAAATAATTAAGTAACAAATAGTACATGGTTATCGAATTTACAAACACATTGGCCAATATCAGTGATTCATGATTCACACCATACAGCTCGGTTCTGTTCATGAACCAAACGTTAAGCAAGTCTTGTTAGCATATTGAAATCAAGCTTGCTCGCCATCTTATCTGTGAATCACCCTCATATTGAGTTATGATTCTATGTATATGTTTGACCAAGTTAGTTAGAGATTCCTTGTGTTTGTTTTTGGATTTCCTTATAGAGTTCATTCATCATAAGCTTATCAAAAACCACATTTGTACAAAACTGCAAATTCTTTTTTTCTCAGCACTTGGTGAAGTTGTAACTAAGGGGGAAGAGAAGTCCCATGATTAATATAAGATCAAACATTGCTAGACTGCTTGCTTATTATATGTCATATTTACAAATGTTGTACAATGTCTTTTGGAAATATAAAAGTGAATCTACTACTATTTTTTATTCATGGTTCATTACATTAGAAGATTCCTGATTCTACCCACAAAATGACAAAAATGCCTGATGCAGAAATATGTAATTTGGCATGCTTCACTATAGAAAGAGTTAGTAATTAGCAGAAGAAATATAATGAACATGCATTCTTTCAATTTCTTCTTCCCCAATTTCATGGCTCATAATTGGACCGGAGAACACAAGGGGCATGCCTCAGAACTAATTGCTCTAATCCTTTTATATTTTGAAAACACCAGGGAACAAACTGAAAGTCAAATATGAAACTCTCTGTAGGCAATGGCATCTTAACTACAGTAGTTGGGATTCACATCATAGTTACTGCTGGTTAAATTTCGATTTTAGCTCCCAAGGCTTTATATGCATTATATCCCCAAAAAAATGTTACAGTCATTCTATCTCACCTCCTTCCATCACATCCAAAACTATCATTCTATTAGCAGCTCAGCTCCATGAACCATTCGGGATTATCACTGAATTAAATACAACCTATAACGGATCAGCACTTAATTGAAACAACAGAAAGCTCTATGATGATCTGAAACCCACATACAAGTAGATGGAAATGAAATTTAAACTCGTCAAGGACTTGGAATTCTAGTGTTCAATGAGTATGCTAAGGTAGCAATGTATCTTACACCAACCTGATTCACCCTCTGCAAGCTTCTCCAACTTGGCACCAACCAAACGCCGTTCATCAACACCCCCAGCTTTCAACTCATATATCACCTAAAACAGTTAAAATGGTATTACTTGAGTAAACAAAACAGTTAATATAAAAGCCATAAGTTCAATAGTGAAAAACTAATAACCTGGCGGTGTTCCCAGTTCCAAACTGAGACATGATCCGATGCATCAGCCGTGACAAGCCACGGATGAGTAGGGTGCAATTGGATCTTCACGATCTTGTCATTCGTAGGCCGAAATGCCTTCAAACGTAGCATTTTACCCTCTTTGAAGTTGTGAATCAAGGGAGCTACGGATCTGATTAGAAGCAGAAAGAAAAGAAATTTAGGGCTTCTTCTTTTCTCATAAGATCTTCAAAATTTGTCAATTATCCTTCAGTCGGCTTCCGAATTGCAACTACCTCGTAGAATTGGAGTATTCACCGGCGTCCAGAAAATGGGAAATTTGGGATGGCCGTGTGAATTAACGTCGACTGGATGCTGAAGAGCACGACCAGATGCATAAGATTTGTGGGGTGTTGGATCATAAGATTTGTGGCAGGTATGTAATTGACTAAACTAGAAGGGCTTAAGCATGAAATAATAAACATGGGTTGAATATTCAATTCTTATTTTTGTTTTGTTTCAACTTTAACATAATAATTAGAAGTTAACTCGCGCAATGCATCGGGATATATCTCGATTTTAATGTTTTATTTTATTCTGTTTCATGTTGATGTTATAATACGATTTTATGTGATTTTGAGAAAAATGATAGTGTTTTTATTTTTGAATAAAATATAAATTTAAAGATATGTTAAAATTAAAAAAACATATCGATATTAGTATCAAAATTAATTATTTAAAAGTTCTTGTTTTGTTGTGTAATTTTTTTATTTAATAATATAATTTTTATAAAGATAATAATTAAGTATTTTGTTAGAAGGTAATGATTATCCTAATTATATTTTAGATTTTTTATATTTAAAATAAAATGTTTATCAAATATTTGATTATGTTTATCTGTAGTTAGTTACACGAATTCAAATATGGAGTTCTGATAAGTTGTATTTATACGTTATTACTTGTAATCTTGAATTTTAAGCAATATGCATCAATAAACAGTACTTCGTGTATAAAAAAAATGGTTTGTAAGAGTTTCTGTCAAATACTTTATAATATAGTATAGATTAATTACATAATTTTTATAAAGATCATGATTAAGTATTTTGTTAGAAACTCAATGATTATCTTAATTATATTTTAGCTTTTTTATATTTAAAATAGATGTTTATCTTGTATTTGATTATGTTTATCTGCAGTTAGTTACATGAATTTAAAAATGAAGCTTTAATAAGTTGTATTTACGCAAAATCACTTGTAATCTTGAATTTTAAGTATTATGCATCAATAAATAGTACTTCATGCATAAAAAATGATTTTTAAGAGTTTTTGTCAAATACTTTATAATATAGTATAGATAAATAACAAAGTTAGAATGTGTTTGGCAATTGCATTTAAGAGGTCTGAATGATTTAAGAAACTCTTATTCACTCCATCACCTTTCCACATCTCATATCATTCAGACTCAACTTTTTTCCCATGATCGCCTTTGTCTCTCTCTCTGGTCTCGACCCTTCATCCTCTCGATTCCCTCCTTGATTGGCTTGTATGGCACTGTTGTCTATAACACGGTGTTCTCTGCTACTTGTCTCTTCTTCCTGCCCTCTGTTGCCACTACCTAGTTCAGCCGAAGATTCTATTGGTTATCCAGTCAAGAAGAAATGGTAGTGAGCAAGGATAAAATTGGATCAGTAAGAACAATTGTGTCATGAAGAGAAGACATGCTTTGCACATTGGTACCGCCTTTGAATTGCCTAATGATTATTCGACAGTCAACTTCCAGCTTGTAAGGCTATCCGCCAAGTCATATAGAGCCTGACTATAAGCATTGAAGGCTTTTCTTTCACGCTCCCTTCATTCTTCCATAACACCGACTCGATCACCCAAGGCAGAAGCAAGTGCACCAATAGTCTTCTGAATATCAACATTTTGAACACCCAGTTACCGACATTCCTGTTCAATACCTACAATGGTTTGCACAACTTCAGCAGGAGGAGCATAGATAATATTTGGAGGAAAAGAGGTTGTAGTTGTGAGTTGAGGGGAAAGAGAACGTGGTCGATGACGTTTGGTGCCAATATGTTGAATTGAAGCATTGGGGGATTCGAAGAAGGGTAGGGGATATCTTATGTTTTCGAAATGGAGATTTTTTTTAGCGAAGGAGTAGGGTATTTGTTCGAGGAAGGGGAAGGTGATTTCTTTGGTGAGGGGGTTTTCTTTGGCTAAAGGGAAGGGAAGGGGTTTTCTTCTGTGGGGATGGCTGTTTTGGTGGTGACGGAGGCTTGATCTTCAATAGGGTTAAGGAGCTCGGGGACAGTTTCAGAGAGGAGGGAGTATGTGTCCCTATAGTGTCAACAATCAAGAAGTCCATAAATGTATCATGATCCTCCAAATTGGTAGTTGGACCAAATTGGTAGTTGGACCCATCAATTCTTCATTGGACTACGCTAAGTTATTTGGTCTTGGGTGGAAAGTTGTGCAACAGTGGTGAACGCAGTCCTCGGAATGGGGAGGAATCTGAGTCATCCTCATCAACCAAAGAATATGTCTTTGAGAGCAGTTGAGGGTCCCGAATTTTATCTTTCTAGGCCTGAAAGGGAAAAGTTTAACGGCCACCAGTTTTTGAGAATCGATGGTCGGCTAGAGTTTTTGGCCCTATGAAGCTTCCTAAGAATCTTAGAGGAGGAATTGGGGGGACTTAGAGTGCCTCCGATTTTGGGAAGGAGATGAGGCGGGTGAGGTGTCGAAGGATCTTTTAGCATCGTAGCCTGAGAAACGGGGGCGAAGATGTCAGGAGAGAAGGTGGTATTATCACTACCAGTCGACGCTTCTTGACCACCGACTTCACTCGGGGAGGGGGAATCAGGGCCACGGAAGTAGGGGTGCCGAAGGTTGCGAGGATCGAGCGAAACCTGCATCTTTGGCGTATCCTACATTATATTAAGAGTTTGAGCAAAAGTAACCATACCTTGTGGAAGAGGGTTGTCCATTAATGAAGTTCCTTTATTTAAAGCCACTTTCTCGACCTGAGCAATGGGATTCATCAGCAACATTTTATCCCTGATCCTATCTTGAATAATCATAAAGATAAATCGGTTAAAGGCTATTTGAGGTCGGCGAGTAGGATGGATTGTCTTGATAATTTCTTCGAAAAACTACTTGGCAAAATCGATTTCTCGTTGAAAGATGAGAGCATGTGCCAAATCGGTAACGTAAGTTGGTGACTGATCATGAACCCCAGTCTTAAGGCTAAGGCAGTGAATGATATGGGTGAAAAAGAAGTTGTTGGGTCTAATATTGTATTCAAGTCCTCAAGCTTATAGTGTTTTAACATGCTTTGTAGTTTAGTTTGTTCCTTGTAATTGTTGGTATAAATAGTGTTAGTTTTGTTAGTTGTAACAGAGTGCATAGAATAGTTAACAGTTGTAAACAATTGTGAGAATTATGTGTACGTGAGAGTAAAAGAGATCAAGAACACCTTTGTAATCTTTGAATATCAATAACATACCGACATACTCAAATCTATCTCTTTGTTCTTGAATCTTGTGTTGAATTGATGTTATAGACTTGAAACTGGGATCATTCTTGATTGGTATCAGAGCAAACTGCAACACCCCCAAAACTCACATTACATATACCATATATTTCATTCATAGAATACATGTTTAAGCCCACAAAAAGGTCCATAATATAAGAGTCTACAATACAAAATACACAACTCAAAAATTCCAAAAATACATGCTCTTGTATTCATAACATGTATTCTCCAAAACTCATCCAAATATGATATTCATAAGACTAAGCATGTAGGGAAATAATTCACATTTTTCCTTTTCCTTTACTATCATTATATTCTACATTTCCTGCAACACATATTTGAAAACACAAAATTGAGGGTTAGACCTAGAGGTCTAGTGAGATTCCCTTTTTCCATGTAGTTGCAGGGTGATAAGCACCAAATCAGTTATTCAAATAAAATCATTTCACATTTTAACATGTAAAACCACATTCTGTTTAAATCCATCGGATCTCTGGTTCCATAGACAGACTTAGAAAATATTTCAACAAACAAGAGGACCAGAGCTCCTCTGTTCCTCTACTAGAGCTCCTCTGTTCCTCTACCAGAGCTTCTGGTTAAGCCAACCAGAGCCTCTTACTCAAGTAGAGATTCTCAAATAATTCATAGATCAATCTCATAGATAATAAAATAGCTTTTCCAAAGATAAAAATATATTTTTGAAAAGATCTTGTATGACTAGAGCTCTGATTCTACTAGCCAGAGCTTCTGGCTCAAATTGCAAAAACTCAACCAGAGCCTCTGGTTCAACCCGCGTAGGCCAACCAGAGCTTCTGGTTCAAAATGTAAGAAAACTTTCCAAGTATAAGACTCTTTTCGAAAATTCCTAAAATATGATTTTAACACAGAAGCTCTTATCTATATATACAAAGCCTCTGGCCCAATTAAAACATTTTGGTAGACTTTGCATAATTTCCAAGATCAATGCCCAGAACCCTCTGGTTCTATAATGAGGACCAACCAGAGCCCCTCTGGTTCTATAATGAGGACCAACCAGAGCCTCTCTGGTTCCTTTCAAGGAACAACCAGAGCCCCTCTGGTTCCTTTCAAGGAACAACCAGAGCCCCTCTGGTTCCTTTCAAGGAACAACTAGAGCCTCTCTAGTTCCTCTGTATCCAAACACTTGATCGAAAATAGTTTTTATCTGAAACCAATGGCCTTGGGCCAAGTTTTCCCCTTCTCAATAACATCAATAGTATTATTTCTAAGAAGAACAACATCTCTGAGTCCTCAAATCACAAAGAAGTGAGTACTCAAATCTATTGTAATCTTAAAAGACATAATAATAAGAGCTATAATATCCACACACAATTGCCACCCTTATATCCAAAGGTACACATCTCCTTGATATGCCACCCTTATAGCCGAAGGTACACCTCTCCTTGATATGCCACCCTTATCCCTTGGTACACCTCTCCTTGATATGCCACCCTTATTTCCTCATCAAAATCTATGGATTAATTCCAAACGAAGACAGACCGAAGTCACAACCGTCTTGATGAAACATCCTCCATAGTTTTATCCACAAAATCTATAGATTAATCCCAAWYGAAGACAGACCGAAGTCACAACCGTCTTGATGAGATGTCCTTTATAGTTTTCAACCAATAATGGTTTCCAAAGACAGTTTTATCATCAAAAACCTTTAAACTCAAGAACAATATGTTCTTTCATAAGTTTCCACATATCAATCTCTTTAAAAAAAATTAAAATAGAATATCAACTTTCCAACTGTTTTAAAGCACAGTTTACTGTTTTATCTTTTCAAAACAGTTTCAAAACTCCTAATCATCGATACTTCGTTTAAACTGTTAGAAAAC